TGACGAAGTCGAGCTGGCCCTGCACTCTGATAATCTCGTTCCTGTTGTCGTTCTGGCCCTGGAGGTTCCTCGCGGTCTCTGGGTTGACGTTGAGGGCCTGTGCGAGGAGCTGAGTGTCGAAGCCGGAGAAGATGTTGTTGCCGTTGCCTTGCTGGCCTTTCTGGCCTTGCTTGCCTTGTCGTATGTAAAACTCGGCTTCTGGGTTAAACTCGTCTTGTGGGTTGCCAGCTAGGTAAAATCTCTGTATGTAACACATCATCCAATCCAATCAAGCCACGTCATTAATCAGTCAATAAACAAATAATTTAATGTTTTTAAATTAATTAATTAAGTAATTGCTTACCCTGGGCACTTCGTCGAGCTGGTTTTGGTCGTTGCTGAGGTCAAGGAAAGAAACAGCCACGAGAGGCTGTTCGCCGTTGTTGTAGCTCCAGTAAGCGACACCGGCGGGCAAAGCGATGATGTCACCCTCTCTGATGTGTCGGATTTTCTGGTGGCGGTCTTGCTGGTCCTCGCCCTGGAACTGCTGTTGTCCCTGTCCTCCTTCTTGGCGAGAGGGCTGGAACTGTTGCTGCTGCTGCTGCTGCTGGAATTGCTGCGGCTGAGAGTCCTCAAAAGTCTCGGCACACCCAGGAAACACAGCTCCTAACACACCCCTACCTGGACCCCACCAAATTAAAATACTAATTAATTAATTAATTCAATAACATGCATAATATATAGTTGATATTAATTGATTACATGGTGTTTCGATGAATTTACCTTTGACGATGTAGATGAGTTGGGGAGCATTGACGTAAGAGGGAAGGTGAAGGCCGTTGGGCTCGATGGTGCGTCGAACGGCTGCGACACCGGCCCATTGGAACTGCGGGTCATTGGGGTTCCATGACTCGGTCACACCGGCCTCAGACTGAATGTGGTTGTCGGGTTCGCGGGCCTCGAGCTGGTTGAGCCGCCACTCTTTGTTCTGGCCAAATATATGCTGGCGGGAAGCCAGGCAGCCATTGAAAAGAAGAAGCAAGCAAAGAGAAGCGAGAGCTAAAGGCATAGACATATTTGGAGACTACAGAAAGGAGAGAGAAAGCTCTTTGGTTTTGAGATGGGTGAAGTGGCGAGCAGCAGGCGCTGGTATTTATAGTGAAGAAGAGGAGGTGAGGGAGAGACACGTAGGGAAATGAGTGTAAGGAATCCTTCGCCATTATTCTGCTTGCATGGCTTTGAAGCTCTGAATTGTTTACACCTCATTTTGTGGTTTAGGGCAGGTGGCTTTCGGCTTCAGAGAAGAAACAAAGTGAGTTGAGTTATGTGGCAACCAGGTGGGTGTCTCGAGCCATTGTTGTTTTCTTACTGTCTTGGGATTGGTGCGTTTCTGAAACCCTTTTGGCATTGCCTGCTGAGAAACGTGAACTCCATCTGATCGTCTCTGATCAGTTTTG